TTTCAGCGGATGATGGAGAATATTTTACAAGGTCTGCCTGGGTTGCCATTTATCTAGATGATGTGCTAATAATAGGGAAGACTAATAAGGAGCACTTAGAGAACTTGGACATAGTCCTTAGACATATCTCCTAGGTGGGTGTTAGCCTTAGAAGGGAAAATGTGTGTTCCGGGCACCCCAAATGACTGACTTAGGCTACCGAGTTGACAAGACCAAGTACACCCATTGGAAGGTAGAGTGAGGGCGATCCCATGTCTGTACCAGAGCTTAATCTTTCCTTGGGCTTGATGAACTATTATGGAAAGTTCATACATATCCTGGCCTCCATCCTGGAACCTTGGCATCAACTCCTAAAAAAGGTTCAACCTTGGAAATGGTGGCGTAGCCAAACCATAATTTTCAGGGAAGCTATCATCCTATGATCCCTAGTGAGATATGGTATTGACGTGTGATGCCTCCTCATATAACATTGGAGTCGTATTAGCTCATAGGTGGCCCAATGGAGAGGAACACCCAATAGTGTATGCATCCAGGGCTTTGGTTAATGCAGAGCAGAAATACACCCAAGTAGAGAAGGAAGGTTTAGTGATCATATTTGGAATCACGAATTTCGACCAATTCCTTTATGGATGTAAATTTCTAGTAATAATGTATTACAAATGCCTGCTAGATCTAGTTAAGAGGACAAAGCAATGTCGCCCATAGCTTCAGACTGAATTCAGCAATAGGCTCTAATACTAAGTGTGTACAATTACAAACTGGAATACCATCTGAGAGGCCAAGTAGCGAATGTGGATGCATTGAGCTGCCTTCCACTGGCAGATACACCACTGGGGGTACAGCCACTGGAGGAGTCGGTAATGGTTTAAATTTTCTGGGCACACTTCCAGTCACAGCTGACAATGTCAGACTTTGGACGCAGAAAGATCTGGTCATGGACAAACTGAAACAGCTGGTGTTGATGGGGGAAACCAAAGGGATGTCACAACCAGAATTGAAATCTTTTTGGTCCCAGAGAGACCTGATCACAGTCGAGGATGGCACAGGATCATGGGGAGCAAGAGCGATTGTTCTGAGCAAAGATCATCGCCATATGCTGGTTGAACCCCATGGGCGTCATCTATGGGTTTCCAAAATGAAGACGCTAGTGAGAATGTTATGTCTGGTGGCCAGGATTGGATGCAGACACAGCTGCATTGGTGGGGCAGTGCCCAGAGTGCCAGCAAGGACAAATATTATTGCCAGTATCTCCCCCACCATTCGCAGGAATGGCCGGTTAAACCCTTCACTTTGTTACATGTTGACTGTGCAGGTCCTTTCATGGGCTCACTGTTTTTAGTTATTGTGGAAGCCTGTTTAAAGTGGTTGGACATGCATAGAGGACAACGATAGAAAAACTGCGCACATCTTTTGCAGTACATGGACTCCTGGAAGTGTTGATCTCATATAATGGGCCATCATCTACCAGCAGGGAATTTGAGTATTGCCTAAAGCTGAATGGTATCCAACATTTAAGGGCAGTTTCATACCATCCATCATCCAATGGTCTGGCAGAAAGAGCAGTCCAAACTTTGCAGGCAGCCTTAAAGAAACAGCCTACAGCTTCACAAGATACCAAACTGTCCTGGTTCCTATTTGATTATTGGAGCTGCTAATGAGGAGAAGACTCCGTACCAGGTTAGATCTAATCTTCCCGGACCTAGGTGAAATGGTATCAGGAACGCCAATGCTGCACTCCAGACTCTGCTAAGCAAGAGACACAGTTTATTTTAGGGAATGAATTTTGATGTAGGAACCACAGGAGTCGTCCTGCATGGGTGAGAGACATGGTCAGTGCGAGGTCAGGTCCAGTGACGCGCAAAGTTCAGGTAGGTGTGACAGTCCTGAACAAGCATGTGGACCTATGAAAGCTGCAATCTCGCAAACTGTGTGGGAGCAAAGCATGCCCGGCTCTTCCAACAGCCTGTCCAATTGTTCATGAACCCGTGGGTTCTCCTTCTCCATCTACCTCGGAATCTGAGATGTCACAACCCAGCATCGCCATCTGGACACCTTTGCTGCCTGAGGAGAAGAAAGAAATTCTTCCCAGATGCTTCGGACAAGAGATGATCTACTGTAAGTTACATGCCACCCTAATGAGAGGCAGAGTTGGAGGAACATAAATTTATAACTCAAAGCTAGATAAGTAAATAAGGAGAAAGGAAGAGATAGGTATGGAGATACGATGAGATCAACTAAGGTGGGAAGAGATTCATGTAGAATACAAACATCTGCACAGAAATGCTGGAGTGAAAGGCATTTTCAATGGTATAAATTCAATGCCGTTTTAAGTATTCAGCAGCTTTTGTAGGATTGTTGCATCTGAGCATCTTCTTGTATTAATGGAAACCTTAGTCTGTTTTGAGGGCTGGGTATCAATATCATTTGGCTACTGAATCATCTGCAGAATGAAATATCCTAACATACCAAAAAAACAAAATATGCACATGGACAACTAAGGCAGCATCTTCGGGATAATCTTTCACGTTGTTGACCTTTTGTCAAAAATAGACGAAAAGCATTGGAAAAAACAAAGGATGCAAGTGTTATCTTTATTTTAGGATGTTACACCTCAAGGATAAGACTGACATTAAATGAGCTGTGATTGCATATGTTTTCTATGAACTTGCACTTTTAAGTTTTGAAATGTTATGAGTTTATTAAGTGTTATTTAATAGTTTATTACTTGAAAGTAAAAACATTAGTTTTTTTTAACATATTAATGACAGTAGGCAAAAAAAAACAATAATTCAAATACCACCAAGGCAAACTATGAAACTGAATTTGATGTATTTGATAATTTGCATCAGAAATGACAACAAAAGCTGTTGGTTAGTAGAAAAATCCAATTTGGTCATTATTGTCTTACAGGGAAGAGGACCTGCCACCAATTTGATTTAGCCTACGTTTGATTCTGATCTTAGATTATGTGGTTGATTTTTAATGTCCTAAAGGAAAACACTGAAAGTGAATAGTGACATTGGAATAGCAATTGATTAATTGAAGCCTTATGTGTAATTAAATTATGACTATGGAACAAAGGTGCATAGGTACAAAGTTGTAAAAGGTAAGCTTGTGATTAATTTTAGGTAGTGTTTCTTTCTGTTAAGTTTATTGTAGGTGGAACAGTCTTTTAGGAAAGGTTTTGAGATAAAACTTTGTTAGCAATGAAGGAAGGTCGATTTTGAAATGGGGAACTTCTATGTTTCTGTGCCCAGATGATAGATGGTCTCTTTACTGTATACTTAGCAGTGCAATCTCTGTTAACTGAATTTTGAATGTATGCAAATATTCTTCTCAGATTAAACCAAATAGTCGTCATCCTTTTAACTTTTCCCAATATCTTCCAAATCTTAGTGTAACTACTGTCGCTGACTGTCTCTATCCAAACACTAGTTTTTTTTTAACTTTATATCTATTTACCAAGAGCAGCGTGGCAATAAAGGTTTGTTTCAATTATACCACAAAGCCTCACTTTAAAATTTTGAATGGTAAACTATCCTCAACCTATTATTGATGTGAGTATGGAATGGAGCTTCTGAGAGCTGCTTTGGAACTCAATAACAACAACTCAAATGTCATGCTTTTAAAATAGTAAAATGTCCCAAGGGATCACACAGGAGTATTTTAACCAAAACCTGACACTGAGCCATGTATGGGGATAGGTAACTATAAAACTTTTTCGAAGTGATTAGACATCTTCAGAGTGAGCAGAGAGATTGAGGCAGAGAGCTTTAGGAAGGGAATTTCCAAGCTTAGGGACTCGATGGTTGGAGGCAAGATTGCCAATGATGACACAAAGGCAGTTAGGGATAAACAATGCAGAACTGGAGAAACACAGATTCCTCAGAGTATTGAAGGCCTGGAGAAGATTATATCTCCAGGGAATGATGGAGGGATTGGAACACAGGATGAGAATTTTTAAGTTGAGGCAGGGCTAGATCAGGAGTCAGTGCATGTAAGCACAGGGGGCTGATGGGGTCTTCAAAAAATGCTTTGAAATTCCTTTGACCAGCTGTTTTACTGAACCACACAGTAACTATTGTCATTAAATGATGTGGAATTTTTGACAAATAGGATGATTGCAATTCTTGTTTCATCAGTCATCCAATGAACTGAAATAGGACTCCATTCATGTGTAACCAGCTCTGCTGTCACTTTTTTTAGTTCTCTCGTTGGAAGTGGGCACCGCTGTCTGGCTGGACATTTCTTGCCCATCCCTAGTTGCCCTTGAGAAGGTGGTGGTGAGCTGCCTTCTCAAATCACTGCAGTCCACCTGCTGTGGGTTGACCCATAATGCCATTAGGGAGGGAATTCCAGGATTTTGACCCAGCGACAGTGAAGGAATAGCGACATATTTCCAAGTCAGGATGGTGAGTGGCTTGGAGGGGAACTTGCTGGTGCTGATATTCCCAGGTATCTGCTGCCCTTGTTCTTCTAGATGGAAGTGATCATGGGTTTGGAAGGTCTGAGGAAGTTTGGTGAATTTCTGCAGTGCATCTTGTAGATGCTGCTACCGAGTGTCAATAGTGGAGGAAATGCATGCTTGTGGATGTGGTGCCAATCAAGTGGATTGCTTTGTCATGGATGGTGTCAAGCTTCTTGAGTGTTGTTGAAACTGTAGCCATCCAAACAAGTGGGGAGTATTCCATCCCACTCCTGACTTGTGCCTTGTAGATGATGGACAGGCTTTGGGGAGTCAGGAGATGAGGTACTTGCTGCAGTATTCCTAGTCTCTGACCTGCTCTTATAGCCACTCTGTTTATGTGGTGATTCCAGTCAGTTTCATCAATGGTAAAGCCAAGGATGTTGGTAGTGGGAGATTGAGTGATGATAACACCATTGAATGTCAAAGGGAAGTGGTTAGATTGTCTCTTATTGGAGATGGTAATTTCCTAGCATTTGTGTGGGGTGAATGTTACTTGTTATTTGTGTGAATCATTTTGTTCCTTCACTTTCAGGTTTTAAGGAGACAGCCTTCCTGTTCGCTATCTCTTCAGCTGGACTTACACATTCCTTGGCCAAGGCTTGTAGCTCAGGCCGCATGGAGCGCTGTACCTGTGATGAGTCCCCGGACCTGGAGAACCGAGAAGCATGGCAGTGGGGTGGCTGTGGGGACAATCTCAAGTACAGCATTAAATTTATCAAGCACTTCCTGGGACAGAGGAAAGCCAGCAAGGACCTGAGGGCCAGGGTTGATATGCACAATACCAATGTGGGCATCAAGGTGAGGCATTCCTCCTGTCTGTGGGAGTCTGTTTGAGACTGCTGTCCCCTTATTAGCTATGATGTTAGAAGTGCATTACTTTCTGGTCAGGAAAAATTGCCAGTCTTTATAATCATATATATTCCCAGAATCTTACCTCCTTTCTGGAAAGTTGGGTCCAATGTTAAGTTTAATAAGTTATTAAAATGTGAATGGTAAAATGTATACTTTACATTTTAGTGGACATTAGTTGTGGAGCATCTGCAAAAAGTATAAAACTTGCTGTGCATCTGCTGTTATTCTGCCTCCTTGTGTGATCTCACTATTTTTGTACCACTTGCCTCACTCCAATGTGGGCCAATTTACAATGGCATTACTTATGCACTTACATTTGTCATGTGATCCTTCAAGAGACTATGTAACAGGACATAGGAATGTACAACACAGGAAATGACTTTTTTATCCCTCTGGTCTACCTTAATGCCTTATCATTTTCCTCCTTCGCTACAATTTTTCTTTCTTTATTCGCACACGGGAGGTGGGCATTACTGATAAGGCCAGCATTTATTACCCATCCTTAATTGCCAATCAATGTCTTTTGATTGAATTAAATACTCCACTGCTACAAAATTTCTGACCAATTTGCTCTATTTATTGCTGTCAATGTAAAGACTGTCAACTCCCCTCTTCTGAACTTGCTCTTTTCCTAATTTTCCATTCTTAATTACATTCAAAACACAATTTTAATTTCTGGTATTTGTGATAGTGTGAAACCCATCACCCTAAGCACTGATTTGAGGCACAGGACTTCTTCACCTCCCTCCCTCTGTTTTCAAAATTTATTCTTTCACAGGACAACGTCCATGGCTAGACCATGATTTATTGTCCCTATTTAATTGCCCTTGAGAAAGCTGCTTTCTTGAGCCACTACAATCCATGTGGTTTAGGTACACCTACAGTACTGTTAGAAAATGAGTTCCAGGATCTTGACTTTGCGATACTGAAGAAGTAGCAATATATTTCCAAGTCAGGAAGATGTGTGGCTTGAAGGGGAACTTAGAGGTGTTGGGGGATGTTCCTGTGTGTCTGTACTCTTGTCCTTCTAGATGGAAGTGTTTGCGAGTTTGGAAGGTGCTATTGAAGGAGTTATGGTGAATTGCTGCAGTGCCTCTTGTGGATGATGCATACTGTTGTCACTGTGTGTCAGTGGTGGTGCATGTTGAAGGTGGTGGATGGGGGTGTCAATGAAACAGGCTGATTTAACTGTGCTTGTTAAAGACAGATTTTACAAATTTACTGGTGTACAGCTTTGAAAGTGTATGGATTGCATTGAGGAGATGGCCATTTATGTTGTTCTGTTGAAATGAATGAATGGAACAATGTTGTGATCCTGCTGACCTCTGTGATTGAATTCCTGATCAGTGTTCCTGGGATCCGAAATGCGTATCATTTCTATCTTGAGACAGGCTACACTTTAAGGATGAAACAAAGTATAGCTTACAAACAAAATATCTGATCAACTTTTTGAACCTGAGGAATTGCTGCTGTATGAGAGACAATGCTTTGGGAAATTATGTTCCTGCCCTTCTTTAAAGCTGTCTATGCACTCAAAATTCCTGGGCTCAGCTTGCTTTTCCCTCCAAGCTGAGATGAGGAATTCATTTGGAGGGGAATTACAAGTGTGAGCATGCACAAGCCTCCTTAATGCTATGGGTCTTAACTTTACTTGACACACCATATTAAAAAGCAAAAGTATTGAAAACAAAATGTCAGTAAATCACGCTGAATTCCTAGGGTCCTGGCTTGATATTTCTTGCAGGTTGAATTATTTGTGATTGACAAGCACAACATTCCAAGAAAGCTATTGTTTCATCAGTCACTATAACATCACAGTCAATCTAAGCCTCTACAATTTACAACCAGTCTTGTTTTACAAAATAAAATGACAAACACCCAGTTGTTCTAACAGTTGAAGGTTATCAATACTAGCTAGCAAATCTCTTACTAGACAAAGTAATAGTGTGCTATGTTAGTCCTTCAAATTAATGTGATTATTAAATTTCCAGCCATAGAACTTTTATATTTGAAAATTTTAAATGTTTGTATGCTAATAGTATCTTCTAGTTTAAGCTCTTTGTACTTTAATTGCAGCTACCAGGTACCCAAGTACTAATATAGTAGGAGGCTGAGAGCAGAGGTTAGCAGGTTACCTGTCAGTCAGATAAGGAACATTGCCTGAAGACTATTTACTGAATGATTGCAAAGAACTGCAAATAAGGAATTAGTCAGGACAAAGCATGTTTATGCAAAGAGAGTAAAGCATTGCAATGCTTTTAGGAAACTAGAGATGGTCACTTAGGGATTTGAAGGTCTTCTAATCCACCATTGACTGGGATAAGCTTTGCATACTGACTTATCAAAGCTATACCTGTTCAAAGTGGGTTAAGCCAAAACTAAGAGTAAAACTTCTGGAATCTCATGTAAATTACAACTTGCAATCTGGACTGTATCACCTTGTTGCCTTCCATTTAAAGAGTTACAAACACTCTCTGTCCAAGTAATGCAGAAAGGTATGAGATACATACATGTAAACATTCAAAGAGCTTAATTTCCAGATGTGCGGCATTTTTAAAGTTGCATTATTAAATTATTCGTAGGTATTCATTTTGTGCTTAACAGACTGAAGTATATTAATGTTGAAATGGAAGATTTTTGACTCCTACTGTCAGCACCATGATCTTTGGGATCAGGTAAAGCACAGTATGTGTAGGGTAGATCATTATGTACACTGCTGTAAGTGTACACCATATACAAAAAGATTCTACTACTTCACTGTATATTTTTAACAATGATTATGAGAGGACATGTATTAATCTGATTCCAAATTTAATATGTTAGTTCAAATTATGAGTAATTTTGCAGTATTTTGGCTTGAACTGGGTTGGCAGTACCCTGGATTAATTTGGTTGATGATTGTTACAGACAGGAGTGAGAGTAATTTCAGCTCTCCATGTGGCTTGTTTCAAACAAGGGCCCCAAGGTTAAAGCACAAGAAAGTGGCTGCATCAACTGAGGCAAACAGCTACAGGGTTTAGCCCTATTGAATTTGCATTCTCTGCAGAATCAACGTTTGGTGTTGTAATTAACCACGTTAAAAAGGGAAAGTTGCCTCGAAAATAAAAGGAGGTCACACTTGCTTTCTTTCAGCTCAACCTGTCCATTGTGTGCTCAGGTTATACCAACGTGCTTAGTTTCGTTGATCAACCTATATTTGCACTTAATCATGGGAAATAGATTGAAAGGACAAATAATCACTTAGATGAGAGACACTCCCTGATTTTCATCTTGAAAGCAAGATCTAATTAAATGGAAATGTTCCAATCAATGTTTTATTAAAATTCAAACAAAATTAAACCCGAGATTATTTGTCTAACTGATTAATGATCTGCATGATCTGGAAAGACAGTATAAAGGTCAAGAAGATCATTTCAAATTCACGCAATGATGTGGAATGAACAATTGTGAAGCAACAGCCCACCTTCGATGATGTTTATCTCCATTAATAGGGAGAATTGTAAAACCGGCTGCCAATTTGCTATCACGTCTTCAACATCATTACTAAAACATGACCTCCATGATGTATACATTTCTGAGTTGCTGTTTTACAAGAAGACTAATTGTCGTGTTGTCATGATGTTGTATTGCATTCTCAAATGAACAGAGAATGGAATTAAGGAAAAGCGTGTGACCAAGTGAGCTTACTCCTTCAAACAGCGTGTGTACAGTCTGTACTGCCGTGCGCTCACCTAATTTAATCTGAGGGAGGAGAAAAATTTCAATTAGCAATTCCAAAGACGGGAATTTGCTCCCAAAGAAAATTCAATGATATTCCATGCTACGAATCTGACAGAATTCAAGCCGACTCTGTTTGAATTCACATGGCAGCATGTGAAATGTGGAAATAAGTTTCCATTTGCAAAGGTGGCTACAGTTTTTGATTTTATATAGTTAATCAGTCAGAATGCAGTGTGGCTATTTTCAGAAGAATCGTGATTCATTTACTCCAATGCAGTGTCAGTAGAATATTTTTCACTTCATTCACAGGAAGGGCACTGTTTGAGAGGCCAGTACTGTTGCCCAACTCTTACTGAACTGCTTGTTAAGCTAGTACAGAGGACAGCTAACAGTGAACCACATTGCTATGGGTTTGGAGACACATAAAGGTCAGACTGGGCAAGGACAATATATTTTCTGTACCTAAGGGCCATTTGTGAACCAGACGGTTTTGTTTTAAAGCAACAGTGGTTGAATGGTCTCTATTACAGGTACTAACCTTTTCTTCTGCATTTATATATTAATACAATTAGATGTGGAGATGCCAGTGTGGACTGGGGTGGACAAAGTCAGAAGTCACATGACACCAGGTTATAGTCCAACAGGTTTATTTGAAATCACAAGCTTTCGGAGCATAGTCCCTTCGTCAGGTGATATAAACATAAATATGATTAGAGATCTCGGCTACTGTTATGGGACTTAACCTCCTGATCATTCATTGAAGTTTCTGGATTATGAGTTCAATAACATAACCATGATGCTATTGATTCTTTAATTCTAAAGCTGCGTGGAGAAAGTTACATGCTCTGAAGATCTTCACACAAATAAGCACAGAGAACAGAACAGAATAGGGTTCTCTTGGCTGGTATGTACATTAGTGTTATATATTTGTCTACTCATTGCATTTTTCCATCTTTCAGGCTGTGAAAAGTGGTTTGAAGACCACATGTAAATGCCATGGTGTCTCTGGGTCCTGTGCAGTTAGAACATGCTGGAAGCAACTCGCATCCTTCCATGAAACAGGAAAGCTTCTCAAGCTCAAATATGAAACTGCAGTTAGAGTTCACAGCATCACTAATGATGCCACAGGAGAAACTGAGCTCATCAGCCCCAAAAAGCACAGTTACACCATAAAGAACCACATCCCAAGGACTACAGATCTCGTTTACATCGAGGAGTCCCCGAGTTTCTGTCGACCGAGTAAATACTCTCCAGGGACTGCGGGCAGGGTCTGCTCGAAGGAGACAAACTGTGAAAGTATGTGCTGTGGCCAGGGTTATAACACCCAGAGTCTCCTGGTGCATAGACCCTGCCACTGTCAGGTGCAGTGGTGCTGCTATGTGGAGTGCCAGCAATGTTCTCAAAGAGAAGAGATTTACACTTGCAAACACTAACAATAAGAAATTAAGACAATGTGGCAAAGACAGCGAAGAAGAGGACGAGAAAATACAATCATGACTCCTGCCTTGTCGTCTCTTGTAATGATGAGACAAACTTATATAAACCCAGGAAAGAGACATGTGAAAGGTTAGAGCTAAGTTTCATTGACCCCATTATTGAAAATACAAGCATTTGGAATTTAAAGAACCTTATTTCAGAAGATTTTTACACAGGTCTCTTCATTCAGGAAATTCAGATCTATCCAACTGTTAGAACAGTCCAAAGTGTGTGCTGAGATTTCACATTGACTGTTACAGTTGGCCAAATTGATAGAAGCCACACAAGATGGTTTTAGAATGCTCTCCTTCATTTCATTTCAGTTAAAGAGTGACCAGTAAATAAATAATGACCCACAAAGGTATTTTGACTGATTAAACATGTTCTCTTTGAAATTGTGGGTGCAGTGCTGGGGAACAGGTGAAACTACTTGTTATCCTTGGGCCAATTCTATAAGGAGTGCAAACAAAACCTCCTATGATACAGGGTGGGAAAGGGACTGCAACTTCCTCTGCCCATCATTGTTCAAAGGAGCCTTCACCTTGTAGTCAGATTGATGGAGGTTGTTGTTTAACCTGTGCTCAAGTTTTGAACCAACATACCCCCAGGACAGCATTAACCTTTATCTGGGTTTGTCCCTGTGTTCCTTCTGCTGTTCTGCCACTCAGTCATCTGCATAGCGTGCTGTTATTGAAATACAGGCACAATGAGTAATGTTCGCTGAAGCTACAAATTCCTGGCTAGTGATCACAACGTCCCGAGGGTGAAATGACTGCGTATTGACAGACTCTCACAAGTCTTTCAAAAATAATCAATAGTTAACAAAATGTAGAACAAGGTAATATAACTTTTAGCAAAAGAAAATGCAAATCTTAAAAATCAAACCTGCCTATAAATCTTGCTTAATCTAAATCCTGTTCTCATGCTGTGGTGTGTGAATGGCTAGTTCTGTTCCCAGAACAGGGACATCAAGCCCAAATTTTGTGGTGAGTTGGGAAGTGTCTGCTTTTACCTTTGACCTTAAGGAAATCTGCCCACAAGGACCTAGTGATTTCTGTGATGTGGATTTCACATTTCCAGGCATTCATTTTTTTTGATTCTGGCATCAACTCTAGAAGATCTTTTGCGTTTAGTAATAGTGAGTATCATCAAGCAGGCTAAGTGGCCTATAATACTAAACTTTTCTCACAGACAGCAAAACAGGAAGTAAAATGCACTGAGTTTTCAATACTTCTTAACCATTTTACAGAGAATGAAATAAAAATTGATACATACACATGGGATTAAGCTAGAAACTGAAATACTGTAAATAAACTTTAAAACAAAAATTATCTTTAGTTACCGTTAAAACTTGCGGAACTTTTACCATAATGGAGAAATTTTACATGCTACAAGTGAGATTTGTTTTTCAGGATCAGAGAGGTTGCTTATAAATAATTATGATCTAGGACGGAGATGAGGAGACATTTCTTCACCCAAAGAGTGGTGAGCCTGTGGAATTCATTACCGCAGGAAGTAATTGATGCCAAAACATTGAATAGATATAGCACTTGGGGTGAATGGGATCAAGGTTTGTGGGGAGAAAGTAGGATTAGGCTATTGAGTTGGACGATCAACCACGATTGTGAAGAATGGCGATACAGGCTTGAAGGGCTGAATGGCCTCCTCCTGCTCCTATCTTCTATGTTTGTATGATTTTGCATGTTGTTAAAAAAGCACAATTACGTCTCATTCAACAAAGCATAGTATATTTGAAGGGTTTTAAAGTGAGATTAACTTGTTAAAACTGGAAGTTCATGTAAATTCAAATAACTTCTAAAGATTTCCTTCCTCAGGATTTCAATAGTGCATCCTGAGATGGAAAAGGGAATCTCTGCAGCAATGTCTGGATTTCTGCATTGAACCTCTGCATGTCCAGATGCTGGAACCTGCTGTCATTCTTACAGTTTCAATGACAGTAAATGTTGACAGTTTCATTATCATCACTAAAACTACAACATTTGGGAAATTGTCTCAAACACAGAAGATTAGGAATGACCTAGCAAACACAACGAAACTAGCCTTTACTTGATCACAACTATACCAGTTACCTTCTCACATTATTTCTCAATCCCACTATCTTAAAATGACATCTATTATGTCCTTCACCGCACATGTGACAGCACAGTGGCTCAGTGGTTAGCACTGCTGCCACAAGGCCAGACCCGGGGGTTTGATTCCAGCTCCAGGCAACTGTTGTGTGGAGTTTGCACATTCTCCCCGTGTCTGCGTGGGTTTCCTCTGGGTGCTGTGGTTTTCCCCCATAGTCCAAAGATGTGCAGGTTAAGTGGATTGGCCATGCTAAATTGCCCATAGTGTCTAGGGATGTGCAGGTTAGGTGGATTAGTCATGAGAAATGCAGGGTTATGGAATAGAATAGGATGGCAGTTCTGGGTGTGGTGCTTTACAGAGGTTCGGTGTGGACTCGATGAGCTGAATGGCCTGCTTCCACACTATAGGGATTCTATGTGTGTTGACGATTGGGGGAAAATATTTTGCTTGAATTTCCTATTAACCTGCTCATTTTTACACTTGTATTCAAGCAAATCAGTACAATGAGCATAGCATATGTAGCTACTTTACAAATTCTTTCCTTACTTTTAAAAATGTTTTCTTTTTGTCTAAGAAACCAAGATCAACATTGTGAATATTTCTTTTTCACTTAATCATACTCACTGAAAATGGAAAGTGTATTCACGTGCAGCCTACTTCAGATTCAGGTGCTGCCAGGAGTCCTCCTGTATCATGACCATCAAAGATATAACCGAAAGCTGACAAAAGTAGTGATGAGAGCCTGGAAAGGAGAGATACTAGCCTTTTTAAAAATTAAGATATATTATTTAAACTATGGTAATTGGTGCATGTCTATAATGTAAATATTGATGTTTATTTTACAAGTTTTTACAGACTATTGTAAGAAGCTTAAAGTTTATTTTTTAATCTAAACTGGAATAGATGTGTTTCTACTAACAGACCTAGCTTAGGAAATAACTTTGCCCCTGAATACTAATGGTAACGTTGAAAAAAAAAATCTGCATCAAAGTATGTTTTTACACAAGTCTGTATTTGGTATGCAGTGGAGATACATAAAACGTGAAAAATAATTCACAAGGACTTCTTCACATATTGGCCTAGTGACAAGTGCAGTATTAGTGTATTCTGCACATTCATATTGCGTGTTTGATTCTGTTGCCAAGCATTTTAAGATGCATTTTCATCTGCTGCAGGAAGAAAAGTGTAGATATCTCCTTTGCCAGGTTCGAAGTGGGGTTCCGACCCAAAATGTCAGCTTTCCTGCTCCTCTGATGCTGCCTGGCCTGCTGTGTTCCTCCAGCTCCACACTGTGTTATCTCTGACTCCAGCATCTGCAGTTCTTACAATTTCGAAGTGGGTCTGTTGGGATTGTATACTTCCTTCAGTTATTCTTAAGTGTATCACAGGCACTGAGAAAAGTTACTGCAGGGGCAGTAAGATGACTCAGTGGTTAGTACTGCTGTCTCGCAGCACTAGGGACCCAGTTTCAATTCCACCCTCAGATAACTGTCCATGTGAAGTTTGCACATCCTTCCCATGTCTGCATGAGTTTTCCTCCAGATGCCTCCTACAGTATAAAACTGTGTAGATTAGGTGTCTTGGCCACGCTAAATTGCCTCATAGCATCCAGGATAGGTGGATTAGCCATGGGAAACATAGGGTTACAGGGATGTAGTGGGTCTGAGTGGGTTGCTGTTCAGAGGGCCAGTGTGGATTCAATGAGCCAAATAGCCTGCACCCACACTGTAGGGATTCCATGATTTTTTCAAAGTGCCTGTGATCTACTGAAGAATAACTGAGGGAAGTATACCACCCAACAGACCCACTTCGAACCTGGCAAAGGAGATATCTACACTTTTCTCATCAAAGCTGGATAGCAGTGCTCTGTGTTGAATTTTCTCTGCATGCTGCTTTTTTGTTTTTAGCTTCCTGGCTAATAAATTTGTGTAAAATCCTTTCACCATGAACCCACAGTGACAGTTGTGAATACCATCTTCCAAACCTGTAGCCTCTAACACCAAGAAGGATAAAGGCAGCAGATGCATAGGAACACTGCCACTTGCAATGTCCCTCCAAGCCATAGACCATCCTAACTTGGTAGTATATCACCATGCCTTCACTGTCATTGGGTTCAAATCATGGAACTCCCTCCCTAACAGCACCAAAGGTGACCCTTCACCCCGAAGACTGTAGCTGCCCAAGAAGGCATTCACCAACACCTTCACAAGCTTTCAGAGTGCTGCTGCTTTGTCTGGTAAAGTCACTTCATCTGACAAAGGAGCAGCACTCCAAAAGCTTGTGAATTCAAATAAACCTGTTGGACTATAATCTGGTGTTAACTTCTGACCCTGTCCACTCCAGTCCAACACCAGTACCTCCACATCCTCTCCAGGGCAATCAAGGATGGACAATAAGTGATGACTTAGTGCTCACATCCTATGAATTCATTAAAAAAACTATTTGTAATAAATTATATTTTTGAAATAAATTGGGTATACCTACTACAATAACAAGTGCACTTGTATAGTGCCTTTACACTGTTACAATGTTCTTGGACTATGTTGCAATGATGCAAATAGGAGTCAGTTGCAAACATGTCAACAGTGTGCTTAAAGCAGTGTAGATCGGAAAATCAGCCCCGATGCTTCAAAAATAGGTTGATTTATCCCCCATTGAAATAAACAGTAAATGGAATATGGAAGGTCATGATGCCTCCCTGGCAGTGTGTCATGCCAAGCATGCTATTGTAAAATGAGAGATTCCATGCAGTAAAATAAGGAGCACAAAGCCAGGCAGTGTGATGTTGCAGTTAACTTGTTGTTGGAACTCCATGACCAAAGGCTTATGAAATAGAAAACACTTCATGATGAAGCTTGTTTATGTATCCCAATGCAATTGTAAATTTGTGAGAAGAAGTCTCATAGAATATTGTGACCTGTTTGATATACTTCATTGATGCAAAAAAAAAGTTCCATTAAAGATTCTGGGGCAGAACCCATTGCTTTATTAATTTATCTGTTGATGCTCTAAGGGAAAATAAAATTATTTTTCTACCTCATGTGTACAGCTTGTAGGTAAATAAAATCTTAAAATGTATTTAAGTTATTTATCATCTTTATATAACAGAAAGAGAAAATCCTTTTGGATCATTTTGGGCAGTGGCAGCACATTTTTCATGTTTGTGTTCAATGTGTGTTTCTTCTGCTTTTTCTATATTGTTATTTATACCTTATTTCCTGATGGTTGAAAAGCAGGTTTCATACAATTATAGAACAAGTTGCACTAATGTTTCTCAGCTTTCTGGTGGTATTGATATCAATAAAATGGTGTTTGATGATGACTTTGGAAGATGTTTGTTTTATTGTCTCTTAACTCTCAGCATACATTTAATCTTGTAACTGAATTAAGGGATTGATGGGCAGTTTCTTGAAATATTAAGATAAATTGTGGGATCAATATTTTTTATGTGATTAACATGATAAAAGAAATAGATTTCATTTACGTGGTATCTTTCATGACCTCAGGACATCCAAATTGCTTTATAGCCAATGAAATATTTTATAGAGTGAGTCTAGTTGCTGTTGTATTTTAGGAAACGTGACAGTCAATTTGTGCACCACAAACTCTCACAAACGTCAATGAAAAATTGAATTGAATTAGTTTTATTGTCACATGTACTCACATGAGTCCGGTGAAAAGTTTACAAGTCACCACTTATGGTGCCATCTTAGGTACAAATGTACCTAGGTGCAGATTCTTGAGTACAAATTCTTAGGAAAAACAAATGCAAAAATAGAGAAATGAAAAGTCCAACATTACAGAAAGTAAGTCAAAAGTACAAAATCATAGTAATAAATCAGAAAAATAGAGAAATGTGAAGTTCAGAATAACAACCCTTCCATGATAATATGACTGAAAAAACAACATATAAGCACATTTTAAAAGGAGAGAATTTAAGACAATTTAAGTCCACTTAGTCATTTATCTAAATAGTGTATAAAAACCAAAAGAACTGAGGATGCTGTAAATCAGGAACAAAAACAAAGTTGCTAGAAAAGCTCAGCAGGTCTGGCAGCATCTGTGAAGGAGAAAACAGAGTTAACGTTTCAGGTCCGGTGACCCTTCCTCAGAACTGATGGTGGCTGGGAAAACGTCAGTTTATATGCAGAAAATAAGGAGGTGGGTGGGGTGGGGAGTAAATGATAGGATAGAGCCCAAAGAGAGAGAAAAACTCCACTCCATTCTCTCAGTTCTTCCGTCTCCATCGCATATGTTCAGATGAGGCCAACTTCAACAAGGGAGCCTCCAAAATGTCCACCTTCTTCCTCAACCGAGGATTCCCAGGCACCATTGTCGACAGGGCCCTCAACCAGGTCCGACCCATCTCCTGCACTTCCGCCCTAACCCCTTCTCTTCCCTCCCGCAACAGCAGTAGGGTTACCCTTATCCTCATCTACCATCCCACCAGCATCCA